GCGCGACCGTGACAGTCCGCGAGCAGAGAGCGCGGCGAGGCTCCCGCGTGCACGCATCTTTAGACTTTGGTCTGAGTTCACAAAGTCACCCAGTCCCTGCTTTTCCCCAGGACCTGTGGCAGAGTCGTGGAAGGGCGGGAGGGAAGCAGGGAAGAGGCCCAAGGCTGGACTTATCTCAGAAGGTGCTCCTCTGGACACTGTTGACAGTCTTAAAAAATAATGGCTTTGACCCTGACCCTCACCCTAAGCAGTACTTGTAGGAAAAAGCCCCTCATATCCAGAACATCTCTCTCAAATTTCCCCACCTGAGAACAACTCCTCTGTTTAACCTCCTCAAAGCATCCAGTTCCATTTCAAATGTCCCTGGGCTCAGGGTGCAGCTCAGTGGTACAGCTCTCCCCTAGCATATGGGGGCCCTTGGTTTAATCCCCAGCACCACAAAGCAAAACATGCAAAGGGAGAGGAGTAGAGTGGTATTGTCAAACACTCAGCCGGTGCTTACCATCCCTGGGGTTTAGTTTATCGTGGTCCCTCGAGGTCTGAAGGGATTTCCTGCGTCCAGAGTACAGCTCAGCCTCCCCTTCTCTCTGCCATCTGGTCTACTCTTCCAGCAGGTCTCCTACCTAAGAGCTAAGCTGCACAACACAGTTGCCACTAGCCATGTGTGGATACTTAAGTTTAACATAATTAAAATAAAATTTTAAATTCAGTTCCTGAGTTTTTAAATGAAATTCAATTCCTCAGTCACAATAGCCACATTTCAAGTGCTCTCTAGGCACACGTGGCTAGTGGCTTCTGAATTGTACAGCACAAAGAGAATTCATTAGTCCAAAAAATTCTGTTAGAACTTTATATTAGCAAACAAACAAGTTAATTTCTCCCTCTTTACTTTGTCCTTTCCATCACACTCAGTTTTAGTCAGACTGAATTTCTTTTGACTCTTCAGAGCCCACTTGGCTCTTCTTCATTTTTGAGGGGTGGGGGAGGTAGGGTCTCACCGAGTTGCTTAGGGCCTCACTAAATTGCTGAGGCTGGCTTTGATCCTCCTGTCCCAGCCTCCCAAGCCACTGGGATTACAGATGCGCACCACTGTGCCCAGCTCTTGTTTTGCTTCGTTTTTTTGATAGTGCTGAGGATGAAACCCAGGGCCTTGTGTGTGCTAGCCAAGCTCCGTATCCCTGACTTACACCCATCCCTCTTGGCTCTCATTTCAAGGCCTATGATTTTTCTGCCTCAAAGTTTCTCCTTAAAACAATTCTGGTTTCAATTTTAACAGCACTTCCTCTGGGGATACTTCCCTGGTTCCCTTGGGCTGCCATTGTTGTGTGCACATACCTGATGCAGTGTTTGGAAGTTGAGATGGCAAAGGAAGAAGAGGTAAGAGATGAGGCTAAGGAATTACTTGCCTTGATTCATTTCTTCCTTGGAATTCTCCAGCTCCAAGTGTCCCCGTGTCTGCATTGCTGGAGCTTTGGACCAACTCTTGCTAATTCCCTTGGAGAAAAACAGAATTAAAACATGGCTGCCAGCACCTACCCTTGTCAATGATCCTGCCTCCTGGGATTTCTGCCTTTAAATAAGCTTCACCCAAGATGAATCAGAGTACTTCCAATGAGTATGGTAGAGGGGATGACATGTGATTTGGAGGCTAGATCTTGAAAGGTACTGGAGCTTCGGCCTTGGACTGTTAGATCGCTCAGTGGGTCTTGATGGGGAACCCAGCTGCTCTGACTGGAGAGTTTTAGTCAGTCCCTTGGAGAGGCTCACAGAGGGAAGCACCAAGGCCTTGGGAGTGGATCCTCCACCTCAGGAGTCCCTTCAGATGACTTCACACCCAAGTCACATCAGGATCACAACTTTAGGAGAGATCCTGTGCTTGAACAGCCTAGTTAAGTCACTTCCTAATTCCTTATGCAAAGAAACAATGAAAGACAAGAAATGTTTATAAGTGTTCTTAGCTTCTAAGTTTCAGTATGATTTGTTATGTGGCAATAGAAAACTAATGTAACAAATAAGAAATTAAATAGTAACAATATTTATTAAGTTTTTTTCTTGGTGCCTGGCACTATTCTAAGAACTTTACATAAGTCCTTTGAGATAGTGACATTATTATCCCCACTTCACAGAAAGGGAAACAGGTATAAAGTGGTAAAATAACTTGTGGAAGGTCACATAACTACTCAGGCCAGGGACTCACCTGTGAGTCAACCCCAGGCTGGCTTCTGAGTCCCCAAATACTGTCTCATCCTCAAGAAGTTTACAAAATGCCAGGAGAGATGAGCCATAAGTACAGACCCTGATGCAGGCCAGCAGACGAGTATGTGAACCAGGCCTTCAGAGGCCTGCCAAAACTCTCCCAGGCAGGTAGGGAAGGTGTCTTTTATTTGTATTCATTTTTATTTCTTACTTCTGTATTTATTTATTTGTTTGAGACAGAGTCTCACTGTGTTGCCCAGCGAGAATGGGCAACTCTTAGTCCTTGGCCTCAGCTGCCCAGGCAGCTGGGATCACAGGTGTGTAGCACTCTCCTGGCTAGAAGTGGCTTTTCAAGAGGGCCTCACTTGAAGACTGGAAAGATGGGTACCTACAGAGAAGAGCCCTTCAGAAAACAGGAATAAAGTGAAGGAGATAAAAGAAGGGAGGAGACAGTGGAGAATCTCTCTTTCCTCATGGAGCTCATGGTCGAACGGAGGAGGTCAACCTTAAGGATTGCAAACATGCAGAAAGACTGGCCAGAGGGAAAGGCCTGAACCTGGAGACTATGCATTGGTATAGTCTGTTTCCATCTTCCACTATTGGTAGTGGAAGATGGAAACAGAAGAGGAGGAGAGAAGGGCCAGAACTAGGTCAGAGAATGTGTGGGAGGATCCTTTTATAACCCTAGCAAGAACTTATGGATTTGGTTGTCCTTCTGAGAGGAGTCTGTGGGAAGGAACAAGGGGAGACTGAGAACAAATCTAGAAAAACTAACATCCAGTTGGAGAAGGGGAACAGTCTTGGTCAAAATACCTCTCTCTGGGCTGGGTTTGTGGCTCAGTGGTAGAGCGCTTGCCTAGCATGTGCGAGGCACTGGGTTTGATCCTTGGCCCCACATAAAAAAGAATAAATAAAATAAAGGTATAAACAATGTAAAAAAAATACCACTCTCTTTCTGCTCAGCACAAGAAATAACAAAGTGAAGAGAAAACTTACAGAATAGGAGGGCCTGTTAAAGGTTCATCATCATTAACCATCAGTGAAACGTTAATCAGAACCACCATGAGATGAGACCTCTGTGCAGTAAGAATGGCTAATATCAAAAAGGTTCGAAATAACAAGGGCTTGCGAGTGTGTGGGGAGAGGGGAGCCCTTGCACACTGTTGGGGGCAGGATAAATTGCTCAGCCATTATGGAAAAAAAAAGTGTGGCAATTCCTCAAAAATTGAAAAAATAGAACTCCCATATGATCCAGCAATCCCCCTCCTGGATCTGTATCCATAGGAAGTGACATGGGTATGTTGAGGAGACATGTGCTCCCCCGTGTTTACTGCGTCACTATTGACAGCAGCCAAGACATGGAAACAGCTGAAGTGTCCATCAATGATGGGTGGACAAGGGACATGAGGTACCTATACACAATAGAA